CAAGAAGGAAGGATGATGGTGACAGGCTCTGGACCACCCAATTTAATCTGTGTGGCCAATCTTCAATCCTCTATGGTTGATGAAATACGAATTTTACATATTCGTCCTTCATGCATATTTGTTAATGCTGGTTGCTTTACTTCTGTGAGGGTAGCACTTTTGGCAACTCATAAAGATGAACGAAATGTCTCCTACCAGTCATATCTAGATAACATAGAACCTGTAATAATACCTGCAGTTGAACCATCAATTAATTTGGTAAGATCTATTGTTTGTATTTATATTAATTTACAGCATGGAATGAAGCAATTTTTTATTTTAAGTCAAAAATTAAAGAAGCTTTCAGTATACCATTATCCACTCTTTGCAGAAATGAAACAGAGATTGATTTTCCCTTATGCAAGAAAGCAATGCTGTTTTCTGTAATTTCATTAATTTCTTTGATCTGGCCCTACAAAGTAGGGGTCATGTTATTTTGTTATTGTATTTCATTCATTAATTTATACAGGAATAAATATCTTTCAGAGTCCATAGTCAGTTTTTATATTGTTAACACAGGCAATTGAACAAGTATGTAATTTCATGTATTTTAATTTGTATAATCTGATATTAAAACTTTCTGGTTAAATGTGACTTTTGATGTTAACGCAATTTTATAATAATTATGGGAAAGTCTCTTAATGCAAAATTCAAGCAAATGCAAATTAAGTCTCTTAATGCAAATTTAGAAAGTGAAAGTGGTGTATTAATTAATTTTATTAACTTGATTCAATTGTAAGTCTTGTAAAAGGTTGGAAGGGGATTAATTAAATATCGCTACAGGATATACACATTTCTGTGATATTCTAAACATTGTTAAGCTAGTGGCCTAGGTTGGGCACAGTACCATTCAAAAGCGAATGAAGGGACGGGACCTAAGTGTGACAGTGTGCTGCAGGGCTAGGAGAGAGGATGAGAGATGTTTACATAAGTTGTTTTTTTCATATAAGACTTAAAAAGTGAAAAAAAGCAATAAAATTAATTTGAATTCTACCTTACATTTTCTTGTATTAAATATTAAAAGCACAATTATGTTGAATCTATTCTCCAGTTAAGATTTTAATCACTCATAGATGAATTTCCATTCTTTCAATCAAATTCTTTCTTCCCAACAAATGTTTTGTTACATGGAAATAATTTAGTACAATGTTAATGCCCAGGAACAAATGGAAGGTACAGCATTAGTTCATTGGACAGTGGTTACAAATGCAAAATCCAAAGGAGAGGAAGAATCTATTGTTGAGAAGGACTTTGCATTTTATGTAGTCATTGATATAGGACATGGATGGAGCTGTCCTTTGTATGTGGGTGGTAATTCACCATCTCGGATACAATTTTCTGTTCCATCTGATCGAGCTGACACTAGTTCCAAGATTATCACAGAGACTTTTGTACTTACTTTTGAAGAAAAGGATGAACAGGTATAAAGTACTTTTCTAGTTTTTCACTTGTTTCTGTTGAATAACATTTATGAGAAGTTTTCTGGCGCGAAAAATATTTGTTCGCAGCTACTTAACTTGTAGATGTTTCTGTTGAAGTAGAAATATTTTTTAATGCCAATCTGAATCAACATTGCAATGGTTTAATTTGATAGGTATTGCTAACTCTCCATCCAGAAAATCATCCACAAATCTTGGTGTACAACAAATGCAATTTCAAACTGGTGTGTGCTCAGGGCACATCAGAAAATAATGGATGTGCTCTTCGTGAAACAGAACATTTGGAATGGTGGTGTATAGTTCCTGAGAAAAGTCAGGCACATTACAATTTACCAGACACTGCAAGGAACTTCTTAAGTGCTCAGTTTGTTAGTACCCAATCTTTTTTGGTATTTGCTTTGGTACAAGATGTTTTGGGAGAAGATTTACCAATATGGTCATATGGGATTGATGTCAATGAACCGCAAGAAAGATTCTTATATTTGCCGGGTCATGGGGATGTGAGAGTGTCACTACATGTCCATTGTCATACAGCCTACATATCTGTTGAAACGGTGAGTCTTGTCTGCATGTAAAATCTTTTTTTGTGATAGTTAAAAATATAATTCATTTTTTAATGTACTTATTGGAATTAAACAAATTGAAAACATAATAGGAAAAAAGCCAAGAACAAAAATATTAAAGACACATACATGTTAAAAATATATGAATTTGCTTGAGACTCTAGAATGTCACAATGCATTGAATGTCAAAAGTGCAGAACCTTAACTCTCATGATTTGTTCTACTGAAATATGTGAAAAATGTAAAAACAAAATTAGCAAATATGACAAATCTAAAATTCTTTTGCAGGTCAGTCATGTAGAAATATCTGCACGTGACATTCGAGCTCGACTTCTCGAACATGGTTCTGAGACGGAGAGTCTGCCATCAGAACATGTTGGGGGAAACAGAAAAGTTACAATTATGGAGAGTATCAAGGATCACGATTCCAGCATTTCTTCCCCTCCAGTGTCTGCAACTAAAAGCAGTACTTCTATAAGCAGTTACAATAGTGCATTAGATCATGTTGTATCAGAAGAAGCAGCCTTTGCTCACACAGAAGTGACTGTGACAAACGTAGAACCCAGAATGTCAGCTAAATTGTCACATTTGGAAAGTGATGCTCTGAGATCAAGCTTAGCCAGGTTCCAAGAACCACCATTGTCTGGGTCTTCTCGTACAGTTATTATGTGTTTTATTAAAGGTTTTAATATTACTCTTCTTGAAGACCTTCCAAAAGAAAGCACTGGAAGAACTGAAGTAATAGTGGTGAACTTGGATGATCTATGTATATCTATTGAACCAGGTGATATAGATGAACAGAATGAATCCCAAAAATTCCAGATTTTGGTGGGAGATTTACAGGTAGGAATCTGAAATATCTCATTACATGAAATATTAGCTTGGACACAACGAGCTGTGCTATTTAGTCACTGTCTAACTACTTTCTTTAAAAAAAGAAGAAATAGAATATTTAAAGCCATGAGAGCAACAGTAAACCATCTGCAGCTTATCAGCTGAGCATGGACACTTCAGTGCAGTGTACCATTATTGTACACTACTATTGCTCATGGCAGACTACAGTTAGTTCAGAATTGTTTTCATGGCCACATTTTAAACATTTTCCTTTTCTTTTCTTGTGTAAAAATTCTTGAAATTTAATATAGTTTTATCATATAACTACCAGCTCTCTCAACAGTATGATGCAAAAGGTCGATAACGGCATGTAACATTGGGACTTATTTTGCAGATCGACAACCAAATGTATCAACGAGGTGGATTTGACTTTCCTGTTATATTAATGGGACAGCCTACTGAAAATGCAAGACTTCGAGCCATGAATCGCTATTTCTCATTGTCTGCACCTGCACAACGACTTATTGAACAGACCTCAAAATATGCTCTTCTACAAATGCATTTTAAATTAGTGATACCTCGCTACGGCCTAACAAATGTATCCACTGCAACACATGTGCGCATTATTGTCGGACCTCTGAGTGCGTATATTGAGGATACACTCATCATGTATCTGATGGATTCATTAGCATGCTTTTTCCCAGGAGTTCTTGTCATGACTCCCGAAGGTCCAATGGTTGATCGAATGGTTGCTGGATGGAGGCGAGCACTTGCTGTCAAAGTGTTACGTGAAGCACTGTGGCGTGCACAAGAATTGGCAATGCCTTTGCGGTTGCATTCTCTAGCAATAGAGCCATTATCTGTTCTCTTAAGTATGCACACTTCAGTAAAGCTCTACATAGCTCTTGAAGAGGCTCCACTTCAGTTTAATACATTTGAACGCAAGCAATTAATCACAACACCATATCGTTTAGGCCATGCTCTTACAATGCATTACCTCTCTGGAGCACTGTTTGGCCTTGGCTGGGTTGTGGGCTCACTAGAACTTCTAGGTGCTCCTGGAGGTTTTGCCAGGGAACTGGGCCTTGGACTGCGTGATTTTTTCACATTGCCTTTTCAGGGTATCTTTCATGGGCCTTGGGCCTTTTTGGTTGGAATTTCTCATGGTTCAGCTTCTCTCATGAGACACATTACTGCAGGTAAGTTGTATGATTTTCATATCTCTGGAAATAATTTGCTTGTTTTAACTATGCATTTTTCAAACATTTGTTGAAAGTCCATGACAGTAGTGTGCATTATGAAATTTGTACAAAATATTTTGCTGTTTGGAAATGTGAAAACACAAACAAATAAAATAACAAAAACCATTAGACTTCACGTATTGTGGATAAGCATCACAGAACACTATCCTATCATAATGCCCAGACATTTTCTTGGAGAGTCGCAATCAACAATCTTTGAACACATGAAAACATGAAAAACCTTCAGAATATGACCAAGGTGAACATAGGGAGCCATGAAAGGTTCTGAAAGCCCTAGTAACACGCAGGAAAAATCTTTTGAAAACGATAATTGATGCTTCACAAATAAGTGCACCAAGTCTGTTCAGTCTGCACGTATTAAACATTCAAATGTGCTTTGTAATATTTTTGCAGGTGAATGTGAATGAAAAAATTATAAATTTATTATGCCTGCATTTATACTTTCATTTATTTTACACTTCATAAACATCCAAAAAATGATTGTTCTGGCATGGCCAAGTTATCTATACAAGATTGTTTTGAACTTGGCACAATACTGAAATCTTATATCGTAGTTGTTAACTGATTGTATACAATACTAATACTACTAATAATAATATTTCAATTTTTTTTAAAGGTACTCTCACATCAGTAACTAAACTGGCATCTAGTGTGGCACGCAATCTTGATCGCCTGACTCTAGATCATGAGCATTTGGCTCGTGCTGAAGAACAAAGACGACATCGGCCTCAAGGTCTCACAGAAGGTTTAATGCAGGGCCTTGCAGGATTTGGAATCAGTATTCTTGGTGCTGTGGGTGGAATTGCACACCATCCCATTCAAACAGTTATGACAAATGGTCCCTCGCCAGGAGGGTTGGTAGCGAGTGTTGGCCGTGGGCTTGTTGGAGTTGTTACCAAGCCGTTGAGTGGTGCTGCTGAACTTGTGGCTCGGGCTGGTGAAGGTTTATTGTATGGAGCAGGATGGGCATCCTTGCCAGAAGTTCGACATAATCCAATTATTGATCACACTTTTTGTGGGGTCAATTCACACCTGAAATATGCATGGAAGTTGGTAGGGAGTGGAGCAGCTGGTAAAGAATCCTTGTTATTTGTTACGGAAGCAACAGCCATAACACCATCTGGAGCATATGAAGCTGTAGCTTTGGTACTTTGCACTCATGCTCTCTTCTTGGTGAATCTAGAAGATGATACAACGAAGCGCATCCTTCCTTTAGTTGAAGTGTCTAGCTTTGATCATCCATCAGACCCTACCCTTGTTTGCTTCCAGATTTGTACAGATGACACACTAACACCAGAAGTGTCCTCACATGATAGAGTTGTAGATTTTGTGCGCCGTAGCACAGGACTAGTCCACGGTGCAGGATTTGAGACCCAGACTGATCAAGAGTCTCTTCGAGGAACTTTTGTTGCAGGAGAAGGTATAAATACGGAAACTCCTTTAACGTTTTTTGTGAATCCTCAATCAAGAAGTTACTTCTTGTCTCTCTTTTCCCTTATCAAGAGACAGTGTGAAGGGAAAGGATTTACAACTTTGTGATGTAATGTCTTCAGTGATTAATTATGTAAGCAATTGAAATTAATTGCTAAATTTGTGACGAAGCCAATCTTAAAGAATTATTTCTTGGTTTTGATATGATTGTAAGTATACTATGTACAGGTGTATCAGAGCTTATTAGCACAATAATTGTACATTCCAATTGCATATACTTTGATGATAAAAGAGAATATTTTTCTTAAAAATAAAGTGTCTTCAGTTAGATATGAATTTTCTTATTAAAGTTCACAACTTCCTTTGCAGAACAAGTTTGGATAAGAAATTACAATTTCAGAGTAATAAAATAATTACAGGAGTGTTGATTAACAAATGAAGCAATACATTGTGATGAAATTGAATGAAGAAAATAGTCATTTGTTAAACGAATACTATTGTTATTAAACACTAAAGCAGCTTTTCTTCAACCTAAAATGTCATACAGCATACAGTTATTTAATACTCATACTATATTCAGGTTTACATTTAATTAAATGGAGTATTATCTTTAAATAGTTTTCACTATTACACTTGCAACACAATCAATCTTAAATTATCAAGTGGAATCAAAGGTTAACTCAGTTGCATATTGAGGAAAATGTGTGAAACCAGTAAATATGCAAAGATAATTAATTTATTTATATACAATACTTCACAAGCATATGTTCACGACATTCACATCTCAGAAAGAATATAAATTAGGTACAAAAAAACTTTTTTATTTGGCTTCATTTTTGATACACCTATGGAAGTCGCTTGAAACATTACTTCTCTAGAGGTGCGTAATTCAACAATTTTTCAATCAAGTCCACGTGACCAAGCAACATTCTTCGGCAGCAGTATCTCTTCAAACCCAAGGCATCCAAAGCATCTCTAAAAACAAATTGCAAACACTAATAAATATCCTGGACTAAAGGATAATGTTAAAGTTGAAACAATGGCACAAGTCATTTCTTACCCTTCAGTGTACTCAGCCTGAAGAAGTCCCAAATACGCCTCCCATTTATTGCCGATAACTTTTCCGCAGGTAAAACAACGTATCGGAATGATCATTGTTTAACGCTGAAACTGACATTACAAGTACAATAGAACACGATTTGTTTCTCTCTAATTAAAAATTTAGAATACTACGAGGTTAGCTATATAAACATAATAAAGTGATTACCTGTATTGAGTTTTTAAGCCAGTACAACTAACTTTTTTCTATTCTCGAACGTGCAAAATAACCTCTAACACAGCGCTACACAGTGCAACACACGCAACACTGACACCACGGGTGATGTTCAACTCGCACCCAAAGAGTATATATCCAAGTATATATCCTCGCACCAATACTCTCTGGGAAACTCGCACTGCAACAGGAAGAACAATCGAGGTCGTAAAATGTTTTTAGATAATGTCGAGATCTTTTCAGTGAATAAGTTAATTTATACTAAAATAGAAATTTTGCTGACATTTTATGAAACATTGAATATAATAATGTTTCAATGAATAACGTTCCGTTCATGAAGTTAATTCTACTGAAAACCAAAAGGATTAACCTGACCGTAATGAACGTCATGTTGGCAGCATTGGGAAAGTTGTGGACATAATTACTGGCGGCAGAGTAAAATATGTTCCAGAGAGTGCGTTCGTGTGATTTCCAGTGGTCCTTTGAATTTCATTCTTTACTTTAATTATATTTCCATTTTGTGAGCAATTAGAAAGGTAAGGAAATTATCTATCTTTTTAATATTTTAAAGAGTTTATATTTCATGGCCAGAAATATTCGGTCTGACGAAAAAATGAGATGCTAGCATTTTAATAGTTTTACTTTTCTTTAGTTCATTAAAGTTAGCGAAATGACTTTGTAATGAGAAATATTAATTTACAAAAACATGATCGACGTTAACGTAAGCGAAAACGCGAGTGAAAAATTAATGACATGCCTAAAAACTGTTTTATAAATAACGCAAAATTCGTGTTGAAAATATTTTCTAAAAATTAAAAATATCGAAATTATGACCATATGATGGTACAATACAAAATATTTGTTTTTGTGTTGCCGTGAGGCAAAAAGGTGCGATTTCATATGACCAATTAGACACTTTTTAACTACTCTTAGGTACTATTTGTTACATAATTGTAATTTTAGGTTTTGTCCGAGGTGGTCAAAATTTTAGAATAGCTAGGTACAGCCAGAGGCTTATCTACTGTATGATACGTGCCATGGGCGCCCCTCATATGGGGCGCTATTTAAAAGTATGGCCTTTAAAACACATAACAAACATAATTTGAAGAATTCCGACGAGCGCAAATTCTTTGTTTGCCATAAGCGCCTGAATACCTAAGTACATCACTGGGTACAGCAAATTCTCGTTAATGAATTCTAAGGGACCAAATTAATCGGTGCTTTAGAAGTGTGTGTATGTGTGTATGTGTGTGTGTGTGTGTGTGTGTGTGTGTGTGTGTGTGTGTGTGTGTGTGTGTGTGTGTGTGTGCTTACAATTATATATATATAAATTGTAAGCGACATAGGCACTCAGGCTGGAGCAAACGCTAAACGACCTGTGTTTGCTCCAGCCTGTGTCGCCTACAATTCGCGGTTCATTTGGGTTTACTGTCATGATCATAGACATACAGTATATGCACGGTGTAAGATATGTATTTTATGTTTCTTACACCGTGAGTATATGTCTATGATGCATGCTCTGAATCATGTGCTGTGAACGACAGATACAAATGATTCATCATTTACGCTGTACATTTTAGCACTTGTTTCTGGAAAAATCTACTACTTTTAAAGCATCATTAATACTAATGTATATACACATACATACATGCATACACATACTTTAACAATACTGTATTGGGGTTGCGGCCCCCAAACTCGTGCTACTTTTGATATTTTCACGTGTTTCGTCCCCTAATGCATTCAAAGAGGTAATTCCTTATTTGGTACTTGCATAGGTGCTTAGAGGGGTTTCTTTTCATTGCATTCACGTGCCACTCGATGCTATTGGTGTGAGCACCGGTTTCAAGGTCCTTGAAACGCAGCGAATGTTTGACGCTTATGTGGCGATAACCTTCGTCTTGTAGGCAATTGGAGGCTTTCAACCGTCCGAGATCACGATGGATCCCGGCTTGATGAACGTTTTAATAATACCTAACGTCCTTGCTAGGGTTTTCAACTACCCTGGAAAACATACGATTGGATCAACGTTGGCTCTACTGTACTTCCTTTTACAAAATAATTATACTTTCGTCAATCTCCACAACAATATCATCTCCTCACAGCGGTTCGCGTTCATCAGTGACAACATCTAGACATACTTTCCAGCAAAAACTAAACTAATCAGTCACGGTTTCGGAACATACTTTCAATTCATTCATCACCATTTCGCACGGTAATTTGAAAACTTCAAATATAGGAAATGATAAGCACTTCATGCATCTTGAATTGACTCTCTGAAAACCACGAATCCTCTCTCACAGACTTTTGCTCATGAGAATTGACCCCTTCTTTCGGCGTATCCACTCGTAGCCTCACTCAAGTTTTTCGCTCGGTCAATTTCATGACATTCTTACAAATGGGGCATTCGTACCTTGGTCCTATAAGATCAACTTTCATATACCACTGGATCACATCCATACATCCATATTTATTCACTTTTTTCTTACCAGGGCCCGGCAATATGAGTTTTTGTGTGGAAAATTCGCCGTTTTCCGGCGCACAATTTCAATAGGTTCTCTTCTTACGTTGAAAGCTTGGGAAAGTAAAAAATCTTCACCTGATACCATGGAAGGAACAGAAGAGAAAAATGACCTAAATAAATCATAATCGTCGTAGTTACATAAATTAATTAATGTTTCATCGAATCTCCTATCCTAGAGTGATAAGAGGCCGTGTTACTTTCTGGCATTAAAAACGTCTTCAATGTTACAAATCGTAAAATCAGTGGGAATATTGTGAAGTGATGTGTATTAAAACTGTCAATGATGTTATTTATCGTAGAATCAGTAAACTATTAGGAAATAATTAGTAATTGTGTAGTGCTAATTTAAATGATTTTCAATATATTATAAACAATTCCTGCCTGGTGAACGAGAACATTCTTGCCCACCGATTAGAAGAGAATCGGATCATGTCAAGGTAAGCGGTATCTCGCTCAATAGTGGAGGTGGCTAAGGCCAATGGTCATCTTAAACCCGAGATCAACCCGATTCGCCATTGTTCATTCAACGCAATTGTTTTTTAATATCAATAAATAAAAAGAAAATTAAAATAAAATTGGTTTATATTAATTTTCTGTTATAAATCTGTTAAACAATAAAAATACTAATAATTAACACCAATGAGTAGCAATTTTTCTTAATTTATCTATTAACAAACAGTAGTTTCAACATTAAGATCTAACTTGACATGAAATGGGGCTCAAAGTTATTTTGTATCTATATATTTAGCCATTATAGGATGTCCCGTAAAGGGCAATTGGCCTCGGCGCCGTTAGATCCCAAGGCTGGTAGTCGGTCACCCAACCAGGAACTCACGACCCATCGCGACTTCACGTAGTTAACGAATTCGACTAGCGACGCCGGTTTCGCGGACTTGGCCTTTTCAGTAGAACCATCGTAGAATTCGCCTGGATGACCGAGTGAAAGCACGAAAACCCCGGTCAGGATGATCGGCACGGGGGTATAACCCGGGTCTCCCGAATGCAAAGTCAGCGAGTTACGCCCTGACCCTCTTCGCTCGGTGCATTTATATACTATATTAAAACAAAACTATTGTTTGGTAACATAATGTTTTCCATACTTGGAATCAGCAATCTTTACCAATTTTATCTACCTAGAGATGTGCCCAGATGAGACGTGCTTAACATGTAGCATGCATACGTCTGGTGAGCACTGGTTGTCTATAATAAATATTACTAATTTTACAACTTCTTTACTAATTTATAAACTGCAATTATTTTTTGGGCCATCACTTGTAATTCAGCATACATTTTTTTGACAGAAATGTAGTTCGGAAGCGTACTTTCAAACTCCTAAATTCCCTGCCTTTGCTCCACCTCGAAGCGCATTCTCTCCGAACATTGGCATTCGCGCAAATGGTGCATTGCACTCCTCACACGTAATCTCTAGGATGAGATTATGTACTTTCTATTTCATTTTTGCTGGTTCGTCGCTTCTCGATTCTACCCCACCTAATCAGAGACGTGTAGAATCTGTAACTGTGTGTGAAATTAAACAAATTACTTGATATTCTAAGCGATTGAATCGCACAGGTGGACCTCTCTCTTCGGAAATAAAGGTAAATAAGAATAGTTCGTATTGACGTGAGTGTTATAAACTGTTTTGTTAAAATACGACCAGTTAGTACAATTACAAGGAATAGAACAAATGACGGAGGATAAGAGGACCTTGAAGATAAAGATATGAGCTTAAGGCTAAATGTCCCGACACTAATACAATTTGTGGCCACCACGTGGCAGCACCAAAATAAGTAAAATTTACTTTACCAGATCAAAGTCTGGCCCAATGTCCCGCAGTGTTTCGTGACGGGCTTTGGACTGCTTTTAAAATAGAGATTACGCTAACGAAAGCCGCTTGTTTCCAAAGCTTCGACGCAAAATCTCAAATTTGAATATCTTCAACTCGAAAAAAATATTAAAAAATGTGGGTTGCTTTAGCGCGATCGGCGCTGCTGTCCTGAATCCAGCGCAGGGTGACAACCATGCAATCGCGACCGAATAGGAGCGTCGTCTAAAGTGAAATTTACGGAAAACACCTCGCCCCCCCCCCTTTCCCTAATATATCCACCGCGGTTGGCGAGCAGGCACCCCCCCGATGTGTTGTGAACGACGCCCTCTGTCGGGCGCGGGAGCACGACCAGTAGCTCACCGGCGGCATTGCCGGCCACCCCTGGCGCGGCAGCGTACGTAGGACTGTCGGACATTACGAATACATGCACTAGTCTGGCGGTTCGGCTTTCGTCTCTTTGTCATCTGTCTGTTCTCTCCACCGATACCAATTAGAGATGCTATACTTACTATTCTGACTGAGGTAATAACGGTGTGTTGTAATAGTGTACATAACCTATTGTTTGCACATATTTCGTTTCCTTCGATACGATCTTAAATGTTTGAGGCAATAACTCAAATATCGATACGATTTGGAACTGGTTTTTTAAAAAATGAACTAATTTTGTGTAAATATAACATTTTCCATCTCCTCTACTCTATATTGTTACTGATATCTTTTACTTCTAAGGTTTTCTGCTTACATTCCACCTTGCTCTAAGATCTTTCCGGTGTTCATACAGGAAAAAATCGAGTAAAACGGTATTCACGCACAAGCCTTTTTCCTACACTCGTTTTGACTCAAAACGACGCTTATCTGCTTTATCGGTAGTTCATGCTGTGATTCTTTTCCCAAGTTAAATGGCCGAAGCTAATTTTTAAAAAATGGTTTTCGCTACCATTCGGACCAAATTGAAAAAAGACATGATCTGACTGTATCGGTATGCCCATGATATTTACCGGCCCTGAGATAGGCTCCGACTAAGATGTGTCGAACGTCGGCAACACAGCTCGACGCGCGTCCCGGGACAACGAAGTTCATGCACTGACTCTGGCTGCGGAGCTTACGACTTGAAATTTTAAAAAGGTGGTAAAAAGCGGGCTGGGCGAGCCCATTTTGGACTCAATGCGTAACAGCATTTGATAAGAGTTTATGAATCATGACTTATACCAGCGTTTACTTGGTAAGTTATTTTGATATAAAATAAATATGTCATATTTGTTTAATTTTGAAGGGATAAATAATATCTTGCGTGCGGCACATTCGTACGATTACGTAAATGAATAAAGCGGTAATTCGATGCATATTGAGACAACTCCTAGAGGTTTGCTTACATTTGGACTTTTCTCTTCCATTTTCTTTGTTTTATTAAAAAAGTGTATTTTCTAGAAAAGTTATCTTAGAAATTTCAGTATGCAAACCAGTATGCACGTGCTCCTTTTCAGACGTATCGGCCCAAAGATATAAATATTATGGCATTCAAACGAGTTTAAAAACAGAAATCTTTCTGCGAGTATTGATCTTAGGATTGCCTTACGCTAACGCTTACGCGAGTATGTATTACACAACTTTCCAGAGGAGAGATAGGAAATGTTTCTTTCAATGTGAATGTTTTTGAAATCTTAAGACAAGTATTCTTCATCACAACATTTTTAAAATCTTATTATTATTCTTTTCGCAGGGATGACTTTGCGATTGACTGGAACCGACAGAGGCCTCAACAAATCGGTGGGTGTCGCACGCGGCGGTAATGAAGGGAAGGGGTCGAGTTGTTTTCGTAATTTACTTTACGGACGCTTCCTATTCGTCCGATTTCAGATTGTCACGGCGATGGATTCAGGAAAGATGTCGCCATCGCCCTATAAGCCACTTTTTAAATTTTTCTTGACAGTTTGCAGAACTAATATTCCAAATTCAGATTTTGCTCGATTTTTGAAAAAGAGGGCTTCCGCTAGCGTAAATTCTATTTTAAGAAAGGCGTCAATGCCGTTTACAGATCAAAAATCGACCATTGTTCAGACTTATCGGTAAAGTAAAATTTTACTTATTTTGGTGCTGCCACGTGGTGGCCACAAATTGTACTAGTGTCGGGACATTTAGCCTTAATATAGAAATGGAAGGCTAGGGAAGAGGATGGGGTTTATCGCGCGAGAGAGTTCAAGCACAGGTACATTCTTGTTATATTACTTGTGCTAATATATCGTGTGTATAATCAATTTTCTGTGTCACCGTATTCACTATTTTTTGAGCTGTTGACTTGCTGAAGCCAGTAGTACAGCAAGAACAGTGTTAAATAGAATTTAGCAAAGTAGACAACAAAGGATTTGTTGAATGAAGTAATTAATGCAACAAAAATTATGGAAAATGAGGGTTTACAACTATAAAAATCGAAGTTAAGTTCATACTGAATTTAAATAACACATTATTAAAAAATAATAATATTTGATGTTAATAATTCAATTTCACAAAACATGTGGTATGGTCCTTCGTTCCACTGAGCCCTTAAATTATCGAAACGAGAAGAGAAAACAGATAAACGGAGTTACCTCTTCTTAAACGATAGATCTCGGACTGTTAGCACAACACGAGTTTAAAGGACAGTTGCTGGTGAAACTCGCTATCAATTCGGCGCTTAACCCGTGCTTTTTAACTGGCAATTTAATTGGCTTTCTTTTCTAACACAGCTTGTTACTAAAGAAAACAAAAATAAAATAAATGTAAAATATTATTTAATAGTTTCACATTCATACATCATTTTTGTATTTACAAGCAACAACTTTCGTTCAAACTTGGAGGGGAAAATAAACGCTAACTGCGAAACAGCTAAATAATTTGTCTCGTTACAAGCCTGACATAGCTAATTTGACGCTGCTTTTGTTTGCGTTCCTTTTGTAATACTGTTCTTCAGTTCAGGAATTCTTATATTCTAAAGATATTTGGTCATTTCTGATAATTTTCAGTATATTAAATATGGGTTGAAATTGTTATATAAATTCTCCTAATTAAATTTGTAACTATCTTTAGCTAGAGGGCGGATTGACTAGATTTTACGGGGATTGAGGTGAAGAGAATCGATTTTACTCGTATAGTCAGAAATGCGTAAACTGTACAGAGAGTCCATCTTAATAATTCGTTTTTCCTGACAGAAACCTAGAATTGATGATTAAGATCGCTAATGGAACAAAAATATTACTTCTATTATAAAGAATACACTGTAAATTAAAGAAATCATTTATTTTATGGATATCTTACTCTTTTTGACTTATTACAAACACAGCAGAAAAGTACGGTAGTTATTATATTGCAATTTCATAGAAAAATACTACAAATTTATTTTCTGGGGGACAATATCGGCTATACTCGAAAAAATTAAGTTTTGAACTAAACGTGTGTGGCGTTTTCGCTTGAAGTTGAAATGCAGATATCACAAGCTTAATGATCGATAATTGATGGAGAAAAAGCATTAGTGAAATGTTTAAAAAAAGGTCTAGTAATATTGATAATTATTTAATGAAATGTAAAATAACAGCCATAATTAATTTTCGAGTTTTGCCACTGTTCCAGCTCATGAACGTCTTGTCCGTTAAGAGTTGCACAAGGAATATTTTTGTTTGCACCCACTTGCGTTACTCGAGGCGCGTAAATCTAATTCCATAATCAAGTCTATTACGCTTCAGATTAAGGAGGACATTATTTCGCACAAGATATTAAAAAAATAAAACTGGATCACGAATATTGAAGCAAACATTTTAGACTCCTGAAAAGAAAGGCAAGAAAAAAAAACGATTTGGAAATGACGGGAAGTAAATATCAGGAAAATGTATGCCTGTTGGCAAAGCAGCTGTTAATATCAAAGAAGAGTGCAGATGAAAAGTTTCAAAATTTTGTTTTACATGTTAAGGACAAGAGCTGGGAAGAATTTTAGAAATTCGTTTGTTGCCTCTGCGGAAGCAAGGAAAATACACCGTACTCGTATTCGCAGAGAAAATACACTAAGATTGCTTACTAATTATGCCGCCCAGAAATTTACGTCTACATATCCGTTATTTTATTTCGTGTATTGAATTTATAATATTTCATTGAATTTAAAACTATGAAGTCGATTGAATTGAATTTTTTTAACTGAATTCATCTTTTCAATATACGTCTTTTGAATATTAAAGTGTTTGCTAAGTTTGATCTTTCCTAAAGCTAAATGTTTTTTTATATCTGTAACCCGTTTTCTACGATAATTCAACAATTTGTCAATAGCTCTTAGCAACTCCTCAATAAACTGCAACTCATCAATAAACCTAGCCTCAGTGTTACAAATAACTACTTTCGGATCTACTTACTGTTCGATAATTTTAATAAGTATATCACAAGGAAATTAATCAAAAGTTGAATTTCCCTGGTAAATCTGACTAGTTCCATGTATATATTTTTATCGGAAATATAATCAGCATCTTATTATTATCCGAAGTGAATACAAAAAAAGTTACCCGTATCCTATCTACGTCTGATTCTTAGGAGACGTAAAGAACTACGGTCGCATAGTACAATTGAAGAGCGTTTGCTTTTTCCAAAGCATCGTAAATGGATGTACTATAACAAGAGATGGTAGCAACGTACAGTTCAAGCATTCTCCGACAAAAGTTGGGCTCCAGTATGAAGCTATTTTCGCTTTCAAAACAATTCACAAAATGCGGATTGTTGGCACGGTTCCAGCTTGTAAAACTTTATTACACTACATATATAAGTACTTTGTTTTTTTCGAGCGAGAATTGCTCGCAGGGATCTTTATCGTATGATAACTTTCATCTAAAGCAGGCAGATCAGCCACGGACCTCATAGCACCACGCCACACACTAAACATGCGATAATCTCAGCGTACGCAAAGAGAAAACTATCCTTCACAGAGTCTTGCAATAGACTCTCTACGCACGCCGGTAATTCCAATCGCTGATTACCATGATATTATTTTCTAGCTTAGCGTGGTACATCCGGTAAATATTTTCATGTTAAAAATATTAATTGTGCTATGCAAGTTCGTAATAAAAACATTTTAAAAATAATACAGTTGCTTGGTCGCACAACCTAGAGCTTAGAAAGTTACATGACAAAGTATGAATAAAAATACAATATTTTATTTTTTATATTACAAAATTTTATTTAAGTATCGTCTCTCTGATGAAACAAGTCGTAACGATTAATTTTATACTGCAAAAGCATAATGCACAGCCTTTGTACGATCTATACGTTTGTTTTGTTGAAGGAAATGAAATGAGCTTTTTTTCCCCTCTGTCGGTGTCTTGAAATTCACCCTAACACGTTGTTCCAGAATTCTATTAGAATGTTCACTAAGGGCTGTGAAGAAATGGTCATTTCCCCACCAGTTGACCTAACGACATGTAATGACCCTCATTTGTTCTGAATGGTGGACCGGTGACACACTCATGTTATCCGATTGCTGTTTCATGTAGAATTCTCTGCTAGTTCTCATTCCAGAAAACCACGTACAAGCAAGTGGCTACTGGGCTCTCTGCGTGAAGCCCACCCAAGTTCCACCTTTCATGGCGCCACTCAAATCGTTCGCCGCGAACTCCGCTTTTGGGGCCGTCTTGGATGTCGCTTGGATCGAGAAGTGGCGCAGAAGATGGGCCAGAGCCACCTTCGCCTCCAGCAGAGCGAACCTGTTGCCTGAGAAGGAAAATGAAATAAATTAGTGAGCGGATTATTGATTGCGGTTTTGCTTGGCTAGCTTGGTGACTATATTCCTTACCTATGCAGATGCGAGGCCCGACTCCAAACGGCATGTACGTGAACGGAGTAATTTTGTGCTTGTTTTCCTCGCTGAATCGCTCAGGGTCGAAGGTCTCCGGGTCTTCCCAGTACTTTGGGTCCTTATGCAGAGGTAGGACCGGAAGCACTATATTTTCGCCCTTTCGCACAGTGTAGGCTGGGACATTTCCGTGCGCAGGAATGGTGAAATCCTTGGTGCACTTGCGATCCAACGAAGGAACTGCCGTGTACAGTCTTAGAACCTCTGCACATAAAAATGAATCCAATTTACTCTCAGCTACTGTAGTAATGGTTTTCTGAATATTTTGAGAAATGAGATTTTGTTGTATACCGGACTTAATGTAACTGGGACACTGAATCTTTTAGTTGAGTCGTCAAAGAAGAACGCAGTGTGATATACGAGTATTAAGGACAAATACATCCCCACGGCATTCTTTGATAGCAAGAAACCATCTATTTTCCGAGCACCGTAACAGACATAACTAACAGGTTTAACTTTTGAAAGTTGCAAAGTATAATTACTACACAATGCTCTGTGATTAGCAAGCAAATAAAATTCAGAGCAGTAACTTATAATTGTGTAAAAAAGGAAATGATAAATATTGAAAAACACACTCGTAAACTTATTATAATTATCTTAAAATAAGTTATTTTTATTTGAAATGATTGGGACAATGCGCTGAAAACTTTTGTAGTATTTGTCACAAACTTACTCGTGAATTTCAGTTTTACGCAATGTGAAAAGGTATGTTAGAAGGGAGTAACATTTAACTGCATAATAAAAACTTGGTTTAAGTATTATGCGTTTATTATCTTAATTTTATTCGAAAACAAATGTACGAAGTTGGGACAGTTTTTGAAGGCGAGTTGGCAGCAAAACTAAAACGTTTTAGGGGGCCTTGTTGCTATCAACCTTGCTTACGAAAATGGGATTATCAGAAACGCAAACTTAAGGGCATATTAAAATAGTATGACACATTAATACTTGTAATGTTAATAATAATTTATTTCTGTATAATTATTCAAACCGTTTGCAATAATTACCTTGGAACATACTGTTAAACATATTCATTTACGTAAAATAATTTACTTATTCCCAAGCGCACATTCTAACGAAATGAAGATGATAAAAGAAGGAAATATAACTCGTTCTGGACAAGAAACATTTCGGATATCTGTCAACAAAAATCGCGGGCCGGGCTTAAAACATCTTCGTTTCAAGAGACGGCAGTCCGAAATAGTTGCCCTCAAACCCCTCGTATTCGACGTTAGTTTGGTCCTCTACGCTACCTGAGTATACGGCGACATTTCACTGTACTTTTTGATTTACACTTCAAGCACATTATCATCGTCAATTCATAAATATTTTGGGTTCCAAAATTATTATTCACTTACTTTAAATTTGCTTGTGATCTCTCAATCGAATGACATATTGAACGATGACATGTTTATTGTCACCATAAAGAAAGTAATGGATGCAAGAAAATTGTTGAATTGCTCCGATTACGTATTCCATAAATATCGTTCTTTTTGAACAAACAAAACAATATGAAAATCATACGAACATAATCATGGAGTATGGAAACTATCTTATACCGTGAATATAACGAAAGAAACTAATGGTGATTATATCAAAAAGAACTCCTGTGAAATATTATTACTTTTCTGTGTGATGTGATGCAAATACCGTAACTGTTAAATCTATTCATATTTCTTTCATTACAAAACCTAAGAAATGACCACTGTTATGGGCTATCGAAATAAACGCAGGCATGCACCACAGGCGCCTCTTTTGAATTGTTTTTTTAGTCATAAGTGAGTTTTTAGAATGGCAGAAATTACAATGTTTCAATATTTCGTAACTATTTTCAATGACGCGAGAAAATTTGTGGAAGTTGAGAGTTGAAAGTGAAAATCGGGCCTATGCGATGATTGCGATCTTTATACGAGGGACGTTCAATAAGTTATTTGTGTCTTGGTATGCTTCGGCCTCAGTTACAAATGAGTCTACCGTAAGCTTTTGTTGTGAGATGGCAAATGCAGTGCCGTGCGGACTGCAGGGCCTATTTTTCCTGGAACTCATTCCCATCACCGCGCCATGGTCATTATTCAACTCCTCCTCTCCTGCTTCTCCTCCTCATAGTCGTAATGGCGGCAGCGATTGAGATTTATGGTTTCCAAACTACGACCATGTGGTCTCTCCTCGCACATGTATGCCATACCGTAAACAAATGAGGAAAAATGTTTACGAGTCAAATTGTCCACAGCGCGACTTACCGCTGATGAACATGTCCATGTACTTGGCTTCCTGCACGGCCTCGTAAGTGAGCTGTCCGTCGTTCTTCTCGAAGGCTTCGTCCACCTCCCGCTGCAAGCGCTGCTGCACCTCCGGGTGACGGGCCAGGGCGTAGGCGCAGTAGCTCATGGCGGTGGACACGGTGTCGAAGCCGGCGAAGAAGAAGATGACGGCTTGCGCCGTCATGTCGAAGTCAGTCAGCTCTAGTCGAGAGAAAAAAAGTTTGTAGCTTTCCAGTCCAATGAAGCCTGCTACGCGAATGGCCGTAACCAATGAGATAGAATATACTACATAGAGTGGCTGAAATGCCTCCACCTTTGCAGAAATTGAAGCCATGTTATTTGCAGTCAAAGCAGCGACCTCTGGAGAAATAATTTTATTGTATTCTGTTTGGCGCTGGTTAAGGCCGGTTGGGCGCGGGCTGCGCATAATATAAACCCCAACGAGCAGGAATATACTATATAGAGTGGCTGTCCCTCTAGTTTCAGCGCTCTTGGGGGAGGCTCGTCGAACTAGTGGCCGCCATGTTATTTGAAGTCAGAACATACGAGAAATGCCACCTAAATCATGCTACCAGGAGGTATTGGTAATACGAATGGCGGTGTAACCTGGGTGAAACCGTCCGTAACCAGCGTCAGTAACCAGTGCCAAACGAAATGCTAGAATACTTTGTTTCCCTGAGAGCGCTACAAAACATGGTTTCAATTTGCTTCGAAGATGGAGGTGCTTTAGCCACTCTATGTAGTATATTCTATCTCGTTGATAAATCCTCTTAGAGGGTCTCACGACCAATCCACAATCAATTGAAAACAAAATCACAATATGTAAGGAAAACGAATTGATAAATTTAAAAAAACACGTTGCTTTCTGCATCGGTTATTGTCATAAGAATGGAAGCTGTTGAAATGTTATTGTAGCATTAAGCTTGAAAGCGAATATTATTGCAATAAGAAGAAAACAAAAAAGATCACAAATAAAGCGGCAAACTTGAAAAATTATATATTTGTGGTTTAATGTCTTCTTTTTTAATATGCCGAACATATTGAAGGCATTGTAAATATTATTCTAATCACTAATATAATTTAAAGACAAATAAACGAAAAGATAGCAATATAGAAATAAGATTTGATGCAAACAATACGTAGATTCAGTACAACAATTCTGCCACAATCAGGTATCTCGCATGTTTTGACTGCATGTTTTTTTTAGACAAGTGAGTTTTTAGTATGTCAGAAATTACAATATTTCAATATTTCGTAACTATTTCCAATGACGCGAGAAAATTTGTGGAAGTTGAGAGTTAAAAGTGAAAATTGGGCCTATGCGATGATTGCGTTCTTTATACGAAGGACATTCAATAAGTTATCTACCTCGGTATCTTACGTCATTGTTGGAGAGCTGATGGCCCCTAGTTCGGCGAGCGTTCACCAAGAGCGCTGAAATCGTAACGTCAGCCACTCTATGAAGTATTTACTCGAGTCAATTTTCTTGAATGATGACCTTGCTTCCCCCTCTCTGAGACAATAAACAGTTGAAGACAGAAGCTCGCAGCGTGCATTTATGACAACATTCCAAACACATCTTCACTGATGCGAAATAGAAACTATTTTCTGTTGAAGACAGGAACTTCTGTCGGTGATTTTCTCCAAAAATATAAAGAAATGACCGAAGCAGGTGAAGATTCAACACAGGAGATACCTCGAACTCCTGAGAAAGTTAGAACGCAAATTATTGAGAAAGTTGCGAAGGCGTGACTGATTCTCCAGAGATTGGCATCCATAAAATCTAGAGGCCGATTTCGTAAATAATACCCCCACTCTACCCGAATTTCTTCAATCCATCATTCAAGAAAAGTTGCGCGAGTAATATATTATAGCTTGATGGTGTACACTCACTCTTCAGCTTAGCGCCGGAGATGTTCTCCTGCTCGTCTCCAGCTTCCGCCTTGAGCTGCCCTTCGCGCGCCTGCATGAGCAGCTGCAGCATGTCGGGACGGAAGATGCCCTTCTGCTGGCGCTCCTTGATGGTGTCGTGGACGAGGTTGTGGAAGAAATTCCTCACTTTAGTGCTGTTAAAAGGAATCCTTAAAACCTGCAACAAGAGATTGAGGTCTGAGGAATGTGATAATAAATTCTTACAGGGGAAAATAATTACTGTTATATATACGAGTAGAGGGCGAAATTAATTTTTCCTTTCTGTATTTACGCTAATGGGTATGTTTGACTATTAATAGATATTAGATCAGCGACGGTAATAGCTGAATAGCCCTTCATTCAGATGTTAATTTTAGTAATGAAACGCTCTTAGTGATACATAAAAATGATAATTTTTTGCCAGATCTATAAGAGAAGATTAACAGAGTTTTTAAACATAATAGCAAAAATTTATTATAATTATTAACTCTGAACTGTTTTATAATGCATGATACAAACAATTTTGAAGAGACCTGTGAATATTTATTATAAGCGCTTATTATTATTTCAACAATATTTGATTCTTGTGACAAAACATGATTTCGTACCGCCCCGTGGTGCAAAAGCGATACTTCTTTCATAATGATTTCCATATCAAACTTGTTTTATTAATGCCTAGTATGATAGAATGTAAATTTAGAATACAATATTTCAGGCATTCGCATCAACACATCAAAATTTCCAAGTTCCGCAAACACAGTGTTCCTCGAATAATAAATGTCATGCAAAGTTGTTATTCACCTTATGAAATGCGAATCAATGTAACGATACATTTTTACAAAGATCCGTATATTTGCATTATTTACCTCCATGACCTTAGGCAGAAACATATATCCAAGAAAAATAAGAGCTTTGATTCCTTTAGTATTGGTCAGGTCTCGCCCCATGTGGTAGAACTCATTTTCTGGTTGCCCTAAAGAGTCGACCTCAATTCCAAAAGCGCTGGTAGCTATGACGTCATTGGCGAACCGTGTGAAAAAATCCTTCATTTCTGCTTCGTATACTCTGTCTACAAAAGGAAAAAAATAAATAGAATGTCAAGACACATCAGTCTGTCCCGCCTATTTTTGAAGGTTTGTGCACATCATTTGGAAAATATGTGTAATGTGCACCTTTGCTTTTTTCGAATTTCCTCTTCAAAAAATCAGCCATCTGGACTCCGCAGAGATCTATGAGCTTGAAAATATTTCGCATCTTGCTGGAGGTGAAAGCAGGACTTAATGTGGCTCTCATATCTCGCCATTCTTGGCCTAAGGAAATAGATGGAAATTTTTAATACGAAAATAAATGTTTAATTCAAATATTATTTTCGATTGTTTTGTGAAATAACCTGCTTTTAGCATTAGTGTGAATTTTTATAAAATTAGAGAATGAGTACTTTCAACATATTGGATATTCCATTAAATCAATATTTAATGGAACATGCTCATTTTATTACTTAACTCAGACATATCAAGATGACGAGCTTCCAACAGTTTACGGACATTGCGCCCAGCAAAACTAGCGCGAAATTTCAAAGTAAGAGTTGTACACATGCATCCGGGTGGCGATACATCTTTGGATTCCTGTCATCTTTGGATTGCGAATAAAATAAAATATTTTGTATCGAAAGTATCTTGATTTGGCAATTTCGATTTCTTAAAAGTGCAATAATGGAATTAACTTCCTACGCTCAGATTAGGAAAAAATAATCTCGTCAGATAAAAATAAAAAAAGCAGAACAAGATTGACATTTCATACATTAAAACACAACAGTAAACAAAATTACTTCGTCATACCTGCGAGGACATTTCGGAATGCGACATGTACTCTGCACAAACTTCACTACTTCAGCAAAACCGAACCAAATACACTGTCCGAATGTTCTCTACAAACTACATCACGAAAACATGCAAAGACAGTCAGTATCAAAAAGAAGTTATTACTTCTGAAACTGCACCTTGACGAATTGTAAACAATATACGCGGCATCATGCGACGTTATACTCATATCTATCGATATACTCATATCTATACTTCGATTTAAACATAGGGGGTGTTGACGTAAATCAGCTGTTACGGTGTCATCCAATCCGGAGTTTGAACCTCAGGGCGTCACTGTAGTGACATTCAAACTACCTATTGCATGACACGATAGAGCTTATTTACGTTGAAGGACTCTGTGTTTAAATCGATGTATATCGTTAATTGAAATAGCCTTTGGAAGAAAACAATTGGCTACTGATTAAGTAATACTAAATAATTATTTATTTAATTTGTTTACAATGTAAATGCCAGTGAATAAATACGAACAATATCAGATAACATATCTAGGGATCACATTCTTTGATTCGAAGGGAAAATCAAAAAATCGGTTCGGTATTGATTCATTAGTGATTTACTAATGATGGAGGAGTTAGGGGAACTTGCCCGGTTGTGCCACGCCCCCAGGCGGGCAAGTAGCTCGTGCGGGCAGTTTGACATGCCTGACCTAAATGAACAGTGGAGGAATATCAAATACTTATGTCTTAGTATTTGAAAATATACGTTCATGAATGTGTTGTAATTATTATTCAGCAATAAATCTACTGTATTACTTTAAGAGAATTACAATACTAAAAGGAAAGTGATACCTTTCAGTGAAAAGAGATTTCTCGCAAACATAGGCTCAAGTTTTTCAGACCCTATTGCCTGATGATCAACGAAGTGATCGAAGTCTTTGACTGCAACCAACTTGATGAGTTGCGGGTCTCTGATGTATATTACGGGCTTCATGAACTGAAAGAAGCCAAAGACTGGGTGGCCCTCGAACTTCCTGTAGGAATCGACCGTGAGGTCAAAGAAATTCGTCCTCCCGACCATAAGAGCGCCCACGTTCCCGAACAAGGGCAGAGGGCGCGCGTAGGGCATCCCTCGGCGTCGGAAGTGGTCGTGTGTCCACGTGGCCAGCCAGTACAAGAGGGCGCCCAGGCCCCCCACGAGGACCGCCCAGTCCACCCACGTGGCCCTCGCCACCACGCTGCCAACGCCAGGAATCCAGCCCAGCATCGTTGAATTGCTCCTGAAAACGTAGGATTCAAATTTGCATCACAATTATTGTCACTATCTTCGTGACCAGCACAATACCCATATACTGAAGGAATCGCCAACGGCCAGTTGGTGGACTTCATATTGTTTTGATTCCCGACACATTCGCATACATTTTCAAGTTGGTACCATGGCATGATAATCCAATGGCGTACATATTCATCTAAATTAAAAAAATATGTATTAACAATTGGGATCCGGTTTTGAAGTGGGGTCTTTTTAAGAAATTGGATGCAGAATGTTCAAATGATTTCAGAAATGAATGAATGTTGATCAGAAACTTAAAGAAACAACTCTCTTTCAAGTATGGCAAAGTTGGACAGATATGTCCACTTTCGTTGCATTGATTACATGTAAATGCCAGTTTCCTTTCGTAGGTCTAAGTCGAATTGTCATCGGTTCGATACGATTTTGTTACAATTTTTTTTCTTGATTGGCTCCTAAATTAATCCTGGTGTACTTTCTTCATTCTACAAACATATGAGATTCTTCATTTAATTTATAATTATTGTTGTTGTTGTTCATTTAATTTATTATTATTGTTGTTATTAGTATTGTTGTTGTTGATGTTTGCATATTTGCCATTTTTTGCAATAAGACCAATTCATATCCCCTATGGAGGTAACACAAAAGGCCTTGGTAACACACACTTGGGTGTTGGGAATTTTTGAACGGGAGTATAACATTATCAGCCATTACGATTCATTGATAAGTTCAAGACCAGATTCTAAAAGAACATATTTAAATAAAACTCGACATGAAAGAAATGAAGAATGAAAGTGACAAATCGTTCGGGGAAGGCGTGAATTACTTTTCTCATGTCAGTAGTTACTTTATATGGTTTGGTAAACATAGTAAAATTTGAAGATATTGGTTAAGTTTCGTCATTTTTCTCTTCAAAGAAAAGAGCTCTGTGGATTATAGTTCTGCGAAAACACAACTGGCAGCCTAGTACATACAGCAAGTTCTGTTCGGTTCATTTTCAAGAGGATTTTGATCGAATTTCTTTATGATACGTACGGTTATAGATACTCGCAATTCCAAGAATTGTAGCAGCTTTTCTACCACATCTAGAAGTAAATTGTGCTGGAATTCACTGAAGATGTTTTCAAATGGATAACTAACATTATTATTTTTGACGTCATCTTAAAGAAGCCCGAAAGTTTTGCACATTGTTGACATCAATTGTATTACTGGCTCATCTACAAACTCCAAACTCTATGACCTGCTCTTTTGACTTTAGATGCGAGTATCTAATGTTTATGTAACGTAATGGTGAAATAAGAAAGTAACAGTACAGTAAGACAATGTGCTTTTCTTAATGATGTAATTGATATGGTAGCCAGACTTCGAATATTGTGAAAACACTAATTCAAAGAATATTTCGTAATAATTTGTGCATCACATGTTCCTTCAGAATGTTAGCAGTGTTAAGTTTTTAATTTTTTTGCATCCTTTTTGTGAGAGATCATGTGAAAAATCTCAAATGCAGAAGAAGCACACTTAGTAATGAAGTATTCTTGACGTATTCAGTTTGAAGTTATTTTAATTTGCATGCTCTGAAAATACGTTACAGTGACCCCACAATTTGTAATGAAGCTTCTCTGTTTCAGTTATTACACTCTTCAATATTCCGAAGATTATTAAATTTCATTGAAAATGGGTACTACTATCCGTTTATTATCGTGTTTGACAGATGTGTTTCAGGGCACACTAATTTGGGAAGACTGTCTTCAATTGCGGAACTGGCGGAAGTTGGTGGTGACACCTCCATGTATTCATAGCTTCATGTACACAATATGTTTTCTTTATCTGACGTTTGTAATGCGTTTTTCTCTTTAGGCGTAAGAAAAAATGTAAAATGTTTCGTAAAAATGTAAAATGTTTAATTAAGTAACAAACTAATAAATCATGTAGTTTTGTATGCACCTCGGGCGTTACGTTTTTGTCCCACAGGCGACTTCCAGCACCTCGGGCCAGAAGCCCTCAGGTTTGGAAGTCGCCCTCGGCGGAAAAAGTCTTCTTAACGCCTAGATACATAAATAAATATTAATGTTTTCGAGTCATTTCCCCCCTTGTTTATTAGAAATTTTTCTAGCGTTAGCTGCTTCCTTTTTCGATTCTATTCTAGCGTACCACTTTTTCGCCTTCTTTTCTGGTATTATCGACCTTAGACACTTTTGGTTAACGGTAATATTCTCTTCATAATATTTTTTTAGTTTTTTAATTTCTACAATTACCAAAGTTAGTTGGAAATGGCTATAGTTGCTTTTGTAGGTACTTACAAGGGATTCTTTCTTTCCTTAATATTTTAAGGAAAGTCTGTACTTGTGATACGTCATTGCATTGGGCGTGTAAATCTTAAACGTGTTTAAATATAACTATGCATGTTTTGGGTTATTACATGTCTTCTATAGTATTACATACTTCTATATTATTCAAGGAATTAACTATAGGATAACCCTTTGCTAATCCCTACTTCTAAAATTCCTGCTTTGATGCCTTTGCCTGTAGATACCTGCCATTAGATTTTAGGTTGATATTCAATCGAGAAGGATCACATAACAATAACAATTTCTCTGCTGCAATTTCTCTGAGTTAGCTCAGGACATTAAAGTGCTACCGCTACAGCGACACTTACCCGGAAGTCCTCGATTCGAATCCCAATGTTGGATTTTCGACTCTAGAGAGATACCTAGGTCAAATTCTGTTGCTATTTGGTGGAGAAGCAGGCGGCTGCTATAAGCGGTAGTTTCCCGTGATTTCTTTGAATAATACCAGGTGAATGCCGTAACAGTACACTAAGAAACGGGCCACGGACCATTTCTTAGAATGAATGAAATGCTTGAAATTTCCTTTCTCTTCCTTCCCCCTCCTCTTCTCTTACAAACACACACACACACACTTACTTATCCTCGCGCACTAGGGCTTGTTTAGGCAGTGGCGGTGCCATGCTGGCGGAGAAAACTGGAGAGGGAACTACTCGAAAGAAGTCGAGTAGATCGACGCAGGATCTCACATCCTAGCGGGGAAATGATACCGCCACTTGTATCTATATAACATACACTACACCTGCGGGGATAATGATAATCGCATTTGACGCATCCGGAAACATCAATCAATAAATAACAATCTCAAAATACTCGTAGATGAGATGTAAATAAACCCTACACAAAAGCCGTACGAACATGCTGATAAGTTCAAAAGTGCTGAAGGTGATACGCAACAACGAGACCATTGAGTAATTTGCTGTTTAATCTGATTATACTTAAAATAATCTCCATTGCGAAACATGCCATGGTAGTGGGTGGAAATAAGAAAATTACAATTTTGTGCTACGTGGAAGATTTTGTACTGATAGAGACCAGAGTTTTATGTAATTACGTATTTTTGTCTTTCTACTTATCTATCTCAAATTTGTAATCTTGACGAATCGTCGCTGTCCTAACATATCCAATTTTTTCGTTACATATTTTTACATATTCAGTACCATACTACATATTTGGCATATTTTGGTACTTTCACAAAATATTTTTATTCTATAAATTTTCTTCAATTTCATTATATATTTTTTATGAAAATTAATACTTTTTTAATTAGCATTTTTTCCTACATTTTTACTGCTCCTGTCGACTCCAGGTACCCCACATGAAGACGCGTGATGTTCTCACAGTCCGGCGCACCTGTCTCAGTTACCTCAGTGGTGGGAAGTGCGCGTCAGCGACTCCGATAATTGTCACCTTTTGGTGTGAAAAGTGTCACTGACGCTGCGGATCGTGATCTTTAACCTTACTTTCGGAGAAACATTGACGATCACCGCCGTTTAACATTCAGTAAGAGTTCTTCAGAGATAGTTTGCTGGTCGTAGATATCGCCATAAATGATGTAAATATTTATTGCATCTTGTCAGGTTGCAAAACTACGATCCTAAATAGCAATACTGCTTATGAAGCTTCTAGTATTGTCGGAAATGTTGTATTATGCCAAGTGTGTATCAACTTGTTCTCTCGAAATTATTTTTAAGATTATTATTTTATTTTTAAAATTTGTTTAGGAAATTTCTTATAAATGTAATTTTGTATTATGAAAATGTGTTTTATAATTAGTGAATTTTAATATTACATATTCTATTCGATTTTACATATTTATTACATATTCTTACTGTTTTCATTACTCACTTATGTATATATTTTGACTTTCATACTACATATTTTCACGGTCTCTACTGATAGCTCACTCAGATCAGAATCTACAGGTTTTTTTTTAGAATTTATCACCACTTCTGAAAATATTGTGACGTTTTCTGAGGAAATAAAGTGAATAATTTCGTCACTCATGACCGGACCAGTTGTACAGCGATCTAAAATAATTTAATTAAAAAAAAGTGAAAAGTTATATACAAAGAACTGGTACACTCTTGTAGTAAGTGATAAAAGAATTATTAAAGAATAATTAATAATGTTCTAGATGCGGGAATACTTAGTGCACGAACTATCAGGAAAAGAAGGTAAGCTGCAGTTGAGAGAATTGAGAATTACTGGCTTCTTCAGACATTTTTAAAACGAATTCCGTTCTTTCCAATTTATTACTATAGAAATATTCGACAAAACGTTTAAGAAATGTACATTATTGCAAATATTACTCCAATGTATTTTACACAAAAACGGTAAGATACATCTAGCGGGAACACGTCGTTGTAATCTTCTTCTTTCTTTACCTTCGTCTAAAAGATTCATTGCGATGGAGTACAAAAAGTATGTTACTCACTTGTGCGGTTGTTTCAACTCGTCGCGTGGATGGAGCGATGGGCGCGGCAGGTGTGAGATAATGCTCTCAGAGCAGCCGCCGCT